CATGATCCCTCAGGATGGGCAGCCCTGGATTTGGCAAATGGAAGCTGCAGTGTGACAACATCTGGAAAGCCACATGTTCCCAATCCTCCTGTAAACAGGCCCGAATCCATGTCTGATATCCCTTTGCACATTTACACAAAGGGAATGACTTTTTGGATTCCAACTGTCTTCAAGAAATCTCTGTAGATGTTATCTGCCGCATACGGAGTCTCATGATTTAGCATAGAACAGCTGAGGGTCTATACAGTACAGATTTCTGAACATCTGGCAGTTCATCTCTAAACATTATACCATGTGCAGAACTGCACCACAGGACTTCCGCGTCGGGAGGGAGAAAGACAGGGTTCGGTTTATACTTTTCCCACGTGGTGTTGTTTTCTTTTTAAGAGAGCACTGTAATTCTGAACATATAGGTACAAACAGTTAGTCAATAGTTTCTGGGTGATTAAAAAAATAAGAATATTGTCAAAAGTATCCTGGTGTGGAAGGTTTATGCTGCACGCTTTTCTAATCCAGTGTAGGCAGAGAAGCAGTTAAAATGAATACTAGTAGCATATTAATTGGTACAGTAAACAACTTCATCAGCACTTATCTAAACACTATTGTTTTAAGAGCCTGGCAGCGCGGGCCAAGGGACATTTGTCTGCGCCATGGCATTTTCAAAGGTTAGGCCTTATCTTTGCAACCATAAGAGGAGTTATTTTTCCCCTTTTCTTTTTGACTTACTAACATGTCCCAAGGGAGGGGATATAAATGTGAAATTAATGGGCCCAGGAAGCTGCTCCTGCCTAAAACTCACTGAAGTCAACTACTTGTATTATTTTGTAGATTCAGCTCATTTGTGATCTATACCCAATATTAACTCTATAATAGTTATTTTTAAAGAAATCTTGGTCTATTTCTATCCTGCCTATGAATTGCAAACGTTTGTTCTTCAACTATCCCTGGGAAGCCAGCCACGTATACGAGGAGAGTTATCCTCTGGCTTGAATTCAGGGTTGTAGAAGCTCAAAAGTACCTTTAGGAAAAAAGTATGTGTCAATGTATTTGTGTGCTTGTGCAGAGCTTCT